CTAATATAAGTATAATACACACACACACACACACACACACACACACACACACATATATATATATATATATATGTATATATAGGCTGTCATCTCGACAACCTGCCAATGACTGATAAAGAGTTCTCTGTAGATGCCAGTCTACTAGAAAGAAACTGGGTGCCCACGGGAGCTGTGGTGCAAGTGCCCTGATTTCTGTCTGTGCGAATGCAGTCAAAATCGTATAAAGGCGATAGAACCTGTAACATAAATTGCAATCGTGGTGCTGGCGAAATACTTGTTAACATAGCAGAAGAGATTTCGTAGGTCAAATAGCACCCACGAGCCGTGCATTCACTTTACAAACTAATATAACGAACTCTTCGTCAGAACCATGCAATATTAATCAACTTATTTGATCAACATAAAAGACGGTGAAAAAACTTGGCCGAGAGAAACATTGCAGACGTACGTCGAATGTGTGCTTGACCTGCACGGAGTGATTCACGTGCCTGCGCAGACTCGGTCGCCGCATATTTGCTTTCTAACTTCTCTATGTCAGATTTGGTGGTGTCCTATGAATAGTTTTCTGATTATTACACGACCATGTACAGGGTATATATACTTCACAATACGATCCGCACCAGTTCATTCAAACGCTGTACTTACTGCGTGTATCGTTAATACCATATGCGATAACCATTAAAAATAAATAATATAACATCATCAAATACACATCGAAGATGATGTACCAGAAGAAGACGAAGTCACGAAGTCCAGGAAGTTCAACTTTATTTCAGCGATGAACAAATCATAAACTGCGCCGTAGTCTGATTGCGTGATGTTCGATGAACTTCGATCTAAATATTGTAGTGATGGTTTTATTATTATACGTTATTTTGGGTTCCATCTTTCTTGGGTTTTTTTAAAAGGGGGGTTTTTTTCAGAGTGGCGCGCGTTTTTCTCAAATACGAATCCTATTGGTCCTTGGTTTCAAGAGCAATTTGGCGCGCAGACTGGGATATGCATGAAATACATACTGATAACAATCGATGTGGAGTTTATATTGATGAATAGTTATTACGTGTGTCTTATGTATTCAAAAATGTATAAATAAATACATGCTTTTTTAATAATAGTTAGGAATAGCTATTTAATAACTCATTTCTTATCCGCGGATACTATTTAGATACTGCTTGTCTGATGCTTATCTCTTCATATGTTCATGTGGTAGATGTGTATAATAATTATCGTAGATAGCTATATGATATACAATAGACTTGTAGTATAAGTGTACATAGATAAGCATATGTGACGTGTATGATTATTGACTAAAACACTCGTGCACTTAAATCTGCCATTATGGACGAAAGACAGGAGAACAATCTGTTCGCTGTGGTGACTGGATTGGGTGCGTACAAGATGACACCCGAGGCCGTCAAGGAGTTTACCAGAGGCGAAGAAGCTCTGGGTATGTGATATGCATGTGTCTGTGACGTATTGTGAATCTGCGTTGTGAATATGAATCAATACGGTATGTGATGTACATGCACATCGAACGTGGTGAATCTGCGTGGTATATATGTATCAAATGGGTATGTGGTGTGCAAGTGCTGTATTGAAATTGCAATTTATTTATGTAGCAGTTTGCCATGTGTTGTGCATTTTGTATAGTCTAATTTGTGTGTATGCACTATCCTAAAGCTTGTTTAGTGTACGGAGATACCTGAAATGGGAAGATACTCATGACAGGTCACGAGCTTTGAAAGTGAACGAATTATATTATATTTTTTCCATTCCTGTACGCCAGAACGTACTCAAATACACGCACACGAATTCTTGTATGTGAACAGCACGTGCTATAGTATATGCGCAAACGAACTCTGATATGCAACTGCCCCTGCCCCGGTATATGCGCAACCGAACTTTCATGTGTAATTAGGGATACGAAATATTCACATACGAGTGTATTTCCATGCACTGAAACGTGCCACGTACAGGCGTATATGTAATTTGAACGCAGGACATGCACATAGCAGTATATACGTCCATATATATACAAGTACATGGTTGTTTGTCGTCTCTTGTAACCATTTATACACTTACAATGTGGTCAGATATAAGTTGTCTGATGTGCCGTGGCACTTACAGTCACTCGTTCTCAGCTGCGCGCACACTTCCCGTACATTATATCGTCATTGCTTGTACGCTGAGTGCATGTACACTTCCCGTATAGTATGTCGTCATCACGCACCTTTCTGTACAGTATATCGTCATTGCTTATACGCCGAGTGCACGCACACTTCCCGTACAGTATATCGTCATTGCTTATAATCTGAGTGCACGTACACTTTCCAGTACAGTATATCGTCATTATACGCTGAGTGCACGCACACTTCCCGTACAGTATATCGTCATTGCTTTTGCGCTGAGCAAAGACCCAATTGTCCGCCTCCAGCCCCTTGAGACATGTGTTGTACTCTACTACATATACCGCCTACGATTAGTAGCACGGAAACTCGTACAGTTTCTTTACGCTCTCTCTAGTACACGCGTAATCTGGCCTGCGTGTGTTTGTTCAGAGGCAGATTGCTGACACACCGCATCTGCCTACACGTCTAATGGCCTGTTCACTATTCGGAGTGGGTTCTAAGTACAGTAAAGTGTGTTTGTTGCAGCTAGTTTACTGTGTAGCTATACATCATTCTGCAAGCCTATCGACATCCCATGTTGCCGTACTTCCGACTGCGTCGATACAGAGTGCTTGCAAGAGATCAAGAAGTATCTGCGACTGGACCATCCCGAAACAGCACCAATCCTGAGCCGGCTGGCCGATTGGAATATCGTCAAGTCACATCTGGTGCCATTGATCAGTCGATGTCAGGTAATGTGGCTGCATGTGTATGGATCGCGTTACTTAGAGTCATGAATCCGGGTGCAGTGGGTTAGGTAGCGATATCCAATGCTGAGAGTTCGGAACTGGTGCATATTTGCTCTGTTGCTAGGCGTGTTGGATTATCTGTTTAGATGATATATACGCGTGAAGACGACGATCGTATGAACCTTAATGTATACTTTTATTATTTGCGAGTACACAACTAGTCCTATACTCTCATGGGTCTGCATACAATTAGTCCTATACTCTCATGTGTCTGCATACAACTAGTCCTATACTCTCATGTGTCTGCGTACAATTAGTCCTATACTCTCATGTGGCTGCACACAATTAGTCCTATACTCTCATGTGTCTACAAACAATTAGTCCTATACTCTCATGTGTTTGCGTGCAATTAGTCCTATACTCTCATGTGTATACGTACAAATAGTCCTATACTCTCATGTGTCTGCGTACAATTAGTCATATACTCTCATGTGTCTGCATACAATTAGCCGTATACTCTCATGTGTCTGCATACAACTAGTCCTATATTCTTATGGGTCTGCACACAATTTGTCATATACTTCTGTATACAGTTAGTGCTGTACTTTTCTACTATCAGGTTCCCAGTTGTAGTAAATGCCGAACACTTCGTTTTCACAGCGTGGCGAAGACGATAAGCTGGTATACAATTGCCTACAGCTGCTGAACTTGCTGACATTGGCACCGTCTCCGATTCTGCAAGCGGATGTCATCAATCAGTTGACGATGAATATCCAACGATCCAAGGATGTAAGTAACAGTGTAAGAATAAAAATAGCAATGTAATGAAGTGGTAACAGTATAAGGATGCAAGTAGCAGTGTAAGGATACAAGTAGCAGTGTAATATTGTAAGTAGCAGTGTAAGGTTGTATTTATCAGTGTAAGGTTGTATTTATCAGTGTAAGGATGTTTGTAGCAATATAAGGACGTGAGTAGCAGTGTGCGGACGTAGTTGGCAGTGTACGGACGTAGTTAGCAGTGTACGGATGTAGTTAGCAGTGTATGGAAGTAGTTAGCAGTATACGGACGTAGTTAGCAGTGTACGGACGTGGTTAGCAGTATACGGACGTAGTTAGCAGTGTACGGACGTAGTTAGCAGTGTACGGACACAGTTAGCAGTGTACGGACGTAGCTAGCTATGTAAAGTTGCGAGTTGCAGTGTAGCTTACGCAGTGCATGCGCTCTTGTTTGTGGTTTAAGCTGCAGTAGATCGTATGTGCAGTGCTGCGGAATCTGAGAGATATAGTGTATCAAGTTTCGAATGCGACCTCTCGTTATAAATACGAGGGTTGTGGTGTAGATACCAAGCCCAGCATCGTTCCCAAGTAACCATACACTATATGGGTATATGGTAGCTGTTGCAGGTTCCCCTACACTATTGCCAAAGATTGTCAGTAGGCTGGTAGAAAGATGCAGTATACTAGTTGCAGTGCAAACCATATTCATCACTGTACAGCCAAGGCTGCACAAGGTGAAAGCTGCAGAAGCGATCGATATGGTACACGACCACTCTGATGACTTATATACGCATTGATTGGGGAGTGTATTCTTCGCTGTCGCTGATAGTTAAGCACAATCCCAAATGCCACATATCCTCTACAACTTACTCACTTGGTACAAGGCTGGCGAGGTGTTGCATTGTCTGGCGGTCGGCGATCTATATGCACCAATACATAACTATCATCTTACACATCGCCTGGGAGATGCGGCAATGAGTCATTGTTTCTGGACGTTAACACACACACTTAACTACTGTATCGTATAAAAGCAATATGGGTTGTGCACTGGTTGCGGTATCCGAGAGGCTCAATTACAGATGGATCATATAGTATCTTGATCAGGCGAACTCCTACCCCGTCATAGTCTGTAGAAACATGAAGAGAGGTATGCCATTGGCGGTATCCGCGAGATTCAACTACCTATACTTACATCATACCGTAACTTGGCCTATTCTACTTCTTTCCCAGGCATTCACTGGGTCTGCGATCTGGAGTGTGCTAGCCGATTACATGGGCGAGACACTCGCCGAAACCCCCAAGAAACGCGAGAAACGCGACGAGAAAACGGTGGAGATGATTACTGCGCTCATGCGCAATGTGCTGTCTATGGGTGTGTTGCTTGCTTGGGAGTGTCAATAGGTGCTGTCCATGGGTGTGCTACTTGCCTCTGACTGTAATTGTGTGCGTGTTTACTCGTGCGTTTTAGCGTGCTTTCTTCTGTTCGTGGTTTGTTCATGTGCGGGTTCTAGTACACGTGCATGCGTGTAGTATGCTTATAAATCGCATGTGTACCACTATATGTTTACGCATCGTGTCTCCACGTTCGTCGTCGGTGTATGCCGAACTATCGAGAATTGAAGACTTGTGCACGGGTGCGATCTATCTGTAAACCCATATTCGACTGTTGTTGCGCTCATGCTTGTCCGAGAAAGTGTAGTTGTGGTGCATTTTTGTGCGCGACATATCTCTGCTACAGCGAGCATCACCATTCTTATACAGTCGAATAGACAAAGTTTTTCCTTTACACTTGTCTTATTTTTACTATTGAGCATAGTGTATGCGTTTGTGAGTTTGCGGTTGTTTGTGCGTGAACATGTGTTCGACTGGCTGTTAATTGATAAGCCGATACCGTAAAACCATACATACGAATATCTCAAATCATACAGGTGTAATGCCTACCGACACATGTTCTGTTATATACACACTCACGCCAACTTCTCTCGACACAAACACACACACACAGCCGACATGCCCGGCCTGAGTTCGCATGACACCATCATCAAGCACCTCGCAGACACGCATATCCTGGATATCTTGCTTTTAATGGGCAACAACGTCGCTGAGGATTCGCTGGCTGGATCCCACAATCTGTTTCTGCTGGAGGTGACCTTCCTGCTGCTGCAGTATCAGAAGCCCGAGTCGTTGTTGGACGCCATGACTGTGGACAAGCGCGTGGTCAATGAACGGGCGAGGGCCATGAAGGAAAAGGTGGGTGGGCGTACAGCATACGTTGGTAGTCATGGCGTGGAATGTAGTGGAGTGTGTTGGCTTGATCGCGCTGGTGTCGCCTCCGTGCGGGTGTAATATCATACCTTCGTGTGTGTTTGTGTTTGGTTCTTGAGCAGAATGGCGAGTTTACGGAGTATGTGCTCAAATTCTTCAGTCCTTACGTTCCGCGTTTATATTCGAGTGTATATGCATGTAGATTTAGGTCTTACCTTCTGCCTGTGTAGCCTCGCCTATATCCATGTTTCTGGAACTCTCCTTCGTTAAGTAAAGATTTAAAGCTATCGGGATCGCTCACATTTTGCCACATTACGCTGCACTATGCATAGTGCAAATATGCTTATCAGATATTGTGGAGTTGTTCATGTATGCCAATGTTTGTACTTTTACTCGAGTAAATGGTTGCTAATATGATCATTCATATTGAACAATTTTATCAAGTGTTTGAAAGATCGTGAAGTAGTTCAGATATACTCGTGCCTGTTCTTCACCCGAGTAAATGTTTGCCGATTTACTCTTACATATTGCTTAGTTTTATTGAGTGTTTCAAAGATTGTGGAGTTGTTCAAATATGCATGTCTGTTCTTTTACTCAAGTACATAGTTGCTGATATTGTCTTTTATATTGATAAATTTTATCACGAGAGATTTATGTTGTACACACGTTTTAATGTGTAAATGTTTTAATTCCCTCCAGTACACGTACTTCTATATGCTATAGTTAAAACATATTGGCATATACTCTGATTCACTCAAGTGCGTATATCTGTACTGTATTATATAATTCGCAACACAGGAAGACGAAACCAAGAAAAAGGACCGCCAAACCGCCCAGCTGGCGAGTAGGCGTGCGCGAATGGGGTCCATGTACACCATGGTAACCAAGGTAACCGGGAAGGATGCAGTCAACCATACGACTGTCGGTGCCGATCTTACCGCCACTACCTCTGCTGGTTCTCTCAAAAACCGAACGCTCAAGCACACGTTCCTGGGGGGATATAATCAGCTGCATCACGGCACTATTAGTATGTTGCACAGCATATTGTTATGTGTTGTGTGTGTTTGTGTGATTGCCATGTGTTGTGTGTATGTGCACATTTGTCATATATTGTATGTGTGTGCACATTTGTCATGTATTGTGTGTGTGTTTTTGTATGATTAGCGTGTGTCGTGTAGCAAAGGCTGTGAAAACGAGCTACGGTTAATTTTGGAAATGTGTGTTTGTCAGCGAGAGGGCGTGTGTGCAAGACGCCTTGAGTGATTGAGATTATCTGTATAACGTATTGCCGTTGTGTGTGTGTTGTGCATTATTGAGAGTGTACATGTCATGTATCTCGTGCGCTTCTTGTGTCATGTAAAGTGTCCGTGTATGTCAACCTACACATAGCCTCTCTCTCGCACACACACATTGACATTCATATGTACATCTACCACAGCGTCTATACATGCTAGGATCACATCACGATCACACACACGAATGCAACGTAAAAGTAGCCATCAAACTTGAGGTGTCTAACAAAGCTAATAAAAGTACATCTTCGACATCAGACATCGACAAGTACATCTTCGTGCGACATAAGGGGTTGATGCACACGCTTGCTAATTGTCCAGCAATATGGCTCTGGATCTTTCACCGATCACCGATGAGTTTCATGTCGCGCATGCATACATCTGATATCAGTCTAGCTGCTGAGAACTAATCTTTTTCAACACATCGGCAAGCGCAGCCAGTGATTCTGCGAAAGTGGCCAAGCTCAAGACGAAGGCACGCGATTACGAATTTGCTCAGACTCAGAAGGAATCGTCGACTGAGATAAGGTACGTATATGTGAGCACAACAACGCACGCCTGTACAAGATACGTATATATATAGTGCGTGTACGTGTTTTCGTCAAATATGATTGTATACAGACACAGACACACAGACACACACACAGACACACACACACACACATATATATACATAATATATATATATATATATATACATATATATATATATATATATATATATATATATTATATATATATATATATATATATAGTATATATATATATATATA